CTCCGATTCCTAAGTGGTACCTTTAATAACTTGAAAGAGCAAAAAATTCATAAAATTTTCGTATTTTTGTATCTATCTCAATATTGACGTATCTAAGAGCAAAAGTGCAAGAGAGCAATATTGTTAACAATAAAATTTGCAACAATTTTTATTATAAAAGTTTTCTTATAACATGCTCCGATTCCCAAGTGTTACTTTTAATAACTTGAAAAAGCAACATATTCATCAAATTTTCATATTTTCGTTATTATGTATCTACAGGGCGTTTCGGTGACTCGGGGAACAAACGTAACCACATGTACTGCAGTGAAAATGATGACGATTCATGTAAAAAAAAATTAGTAAAAGTCCTCAAATTGCAAAGATACAGGTCATCAAAGTTAGGAAATTTTAACACATTTTTTTAAACACCTTAAACACTATTAATGGTAAAGCGTTGAAACTTGGTACAGTGTATTGTCGGTGTAAACTAATATCACGTAAAATCATTAGACAATTTTTGAGTTGGATCGGTACGCGGGAACAATGTTATACAGACTGTTCCTAAAGTTTGGTTGTTCAGAACTTTTTTATTCTATCATAACACACGAGGAGTAACATATAATAAAATAAAAGTCGCTATAGTTGACGGTTAGGATGTCATGTAACCTTCAACTATAGCGTGGTTCTCGCATTTCCTGGTATTTTCTACAAAGACATCTTCCATACATATCTGCTGGCATGATGGGAGTATATTTTTAATTATTTATTGCAATTATTTCAAAGTTCTTGACAACATAGCCTCAAATAATATAGTTTGTTATCTGTGTACATCTCTAATATATGTTATTACTTGTAGACCTCCGATGATGGTCATTTAAAAGACCGAAACATGTCAGGTTGAACTTAAACTTAAAATAAACCAGTTGTAATACATTTATTTCGAATTTTATTTATTTTTTTTTTACATCAATCGTCATCATTTTTACTCTAGTATATGTGGTTAAATTTGTTCCCCGAAACAGCCTGTATAAACAAATTTTCATATTTTTGTATTTTTCTTAATATTGACGCATCTAATAGCAAAAGTGTAAGAGAGCAATAATGTTAACAATAAAATTTGTTACAACTTTTGTTCTAAAAGTTTTTTTATAACATGCTCCTATTCCCTTTAATAACTTGAAAGAGCAACAAATTCATCAAATTTTCATATTTTCGTCCTTTTCTCGATATTGACGCCTTTAAAAGCTAAAGTGCAAGAGAGCAATACTGTTAATAATAAAATTTGCAACAATTTTTGTTATAAAAGTTTTCTTATAGCAAGCATCGATTCCCAAATGTTACCTTTAATAACTTGAAAGAGCAATAAATTTATAAAATTTTCATATTTTGGTATCCATCTCCGTATTGACGTACCTAAGAGCAAAAGTGCAAGGGAGCAATATTGTTAACAATAAAATTTGCAATAATTTTTGTTATAAAAGATTTCTTATAGCATGCTCCAATTCCCAAGTGTTACCTTTAATATCTTGAAAGAGCAACAAATTCATCAAATTTTCATATTCTCTTCNTTTTTTAAAAACGATTGAGAATTAAGATTAACCTAAAATGTGGAGAAGTGTCATTGAGTTTAAAAATTAATATCTAAATAACTAAAAGGTATTTTGAAAAGCGGTTTGTTTCATTCGAAAGCTTATAATTTCTTTTATAAACGCTGATAATTTCATTACGATTCATTAAAACCTCTATTTATGATGATTTTTTGAAAACAACACAAGAAAATTGTTTACCTTAAAAACGAGAATAAATAGTGTTGTGTTTAAACATTTTTATCTCAATAACTAAATGTTGTTTTCAAAAACGGTTGGTTTCATTAAAAAGCTGATACATTTTTATACAAATCCTGAATGTTGGAGAATCATGTCTAAGTAAATCGCTTTATTATGATTCTTTTAAAAAACGATTGATAATTAAGCTTAACCTAAAATGTGGAGAAGTATCATTGAGTTTAAAAATTAATATCTAAATAACTAAAAGGTGTTTTGAAAAGCGGTTTATTTCATTTGAAAGTTTATAATTTCTTTTATAAACGCTGATAATTTCATATCGATTGATTAAAACCTTTATTTATGATGATCTTTTGAAGATAACACAAGAAAATTGTTTACCTTTAAAACGAGAATAAATAGTGTTGTGTTTAAACATTTTTATCTCAATAACTAAATGTTATTTTCAAAAACGGTTGGTTTCATTAAAAAGCTGATACTTTTTTATATAAATCCTGAATGTTGGAGAATCATGTCTAAGTAAATCGCTTTATTACGATTTTTTTAAAAAACGATTGATAATTAAGAGTTTCAGTGAATTA